AGGTGCAAGGTACACAAGGTCTCTGGCAGCAGGGGGCTTGACCTGAGGGTCCCGGGGGAGGAGGGCCGTCCTGGAACCGATGCGAGTCAAGCGGACCTACGAGTACAATAATATACTTCAAAGTACTTAGTACATGCTTTAGAAAGAATGGATAAAACTACTGCTAGTACTGAGACTAACTAGTAGTAGTACTAGTACTACTATAGTAGTAGTACTATAGTAGTACTAGTACTACTATAGTACTACTACTATAGTAGTACTAGTACTACTATAGTAGTAGTACTATAGTAGTACTAGTACTACTATAGTAGTAGTACTATAGTAGTACTAGTACTACTATAGTAGTAGTACTATAGTAGTACTAGTACTACTATAGTACTACTACTATAGTAGTACTAGTACTACTATAGTAGTAGTACTATAGTAGTACTAGTACTACTATAGTAGTAGTACTATAGTAGTACTAGTACTACTATAGTACTACTACTATAGTAGTACTAGTACTACTATAGTAGTAGTACTATAGTAGTACTAGTACTTCTGTGACTACTGGGAAACACAGTGTGTTTGTGTGTGATACCTCCGTGGCTCCGTCGAAGCGTTCCTTCAGCACGACACCGACACGCCTGAACGGAGGCATGACCTTCCAGCAGGTCCTCAGCTCGCACGACCCAGAGACGCCATGACACTTACACTCCACCTGCATGTTGTGGAGGATGGCCTGAGGATGACAGGATATGAACCAGACATGGAGCGGACGTGCACGTGGACACACCAGCGTCTGTGGCGCGGACGTTAGGAATGAGCAGAGACGGTAAAAACCAACCTTCCGTCCCGCCTCGTTGTTGTGCAGGTTCATCAGCGGTCGTCCCGCTGACAGGCCTTTAGCTCGCTCTGGTTCATCCACAAACGTCTGTGAGAAGGCCACGCCGTACGACAGGTTGTCGCTGCAGCCCGACCACTCGAAACCTGCGGGGTGACGTCGGAAGAACAGTCAGCCGGGCCGCAGGGGTGTGTATCGGCAAGAATCTGGCGATACGTATCGCGATACAGGGTGTGGTGATACGATATGATAACGATATATTGAGTTTTTCAGCTGACTGTTAATTGTTAATAACAAATTGATACAGTGTGGTAGGATATTAATACGATATCGTGAAACGAAATATCGCAATAAATCAGTGATATTCTCTTACGCCCCTACTGGTCTAGATAGAAAATACACTTTTTGTTTAAGGGAGCTGTCGTGTCTGATGAATCACCAACCAGGCAGCTGGTTTTTAACTCAACAGCGACCCCTTCCTGTTGTCCTCACCCTCAGGACTGGTCCCTTTCACCTTCCGGTCACAGCCACACCGCTCCAGCTCCCCGCGGGTGCAGGCTCGGGTCACAGCCACCGCCACCGCGGCTGAGGACAGAGCGTGCACGAACGCCGCCTCACGAGTGCCTGGGTTTGAAGCACACAGTCATACAGTCTGTGGTTCAGTGATTCTAGAAGATTCTGTTTCCGTCACCTCCGTACCTTGGTTCATAACTCTGCCGAAAACGTTGATCCCTCGAGGCGTGGTGGAACAGTTCCACCGCCGGTTTCTGAACTGGTGCTGGCACTGGGTGAGAGACGACAGACCAGGTCATACAGTCGGTCGGCAACACTGACAGAAGACGACAGACCGGGCGTGGACGCACCGCCCTGACACCATGTGACCGTACCTCCTCTATGACCATCTCTGCTGCCTTGCGTACGGACTCCATTACCTCCCCCCGTGCCCTGCACACCCCCACCTGCCCTGGGGTCAGCCCCCGCAGCCTGGCACAGGGGGCAGCACCAGACACGGGCCTGGAGCGGGGCAGTCTCGCCAAAGAGCTGAGACGAGAGGAGAAAAAAAAGACGGGTTGGTGAAGGAGGAGGTGAAAGGAGAAGGTGCAAAAAATAGACAAGACCGAGGCGGGAGGCAAAGGGGGGAGGAGAGCGGGGGGGAGAGGCGCTGCGGATGGGAGAAAAGGTGACAAAGAGGCTGAGTTTTAGAGAGGACAGAAATAAGGGTAAGGAAAAGGACACAGGAGGCCGAGTGAAAGACGAGAGAAAAGGTCATTCAGAGGGAGACAAAGAGGGAGAGGAGGGCGAGCGAAGGAGATTTAGAGACGTGTCACCATCTTTTAAAAGTTACAGCATGACAAACACACTCCCTCGGCTCGGCCCCCTCCCTCGCCAGCTGCACTTACAGCCAGTTTGTTGCCACGGTGGGGTGGGTCGCCCATAGCAACAGGAGGAGGAGCGGTGCTGTGAGATTGACAGTGGAGACAGTTGGCATCAGACTGTCTATCTGTCTGTCCGTATGCACGTGTCAGGCCGGGTCTGTGGACGGCACGCTGCCCTTCTCCACGGGTGAGGCGGCGTGTGTGTGTGTGTGTGTGTGTGTG